GCCCGCTGCCACCCCTCTCCAGGCCCACGTGGAGCACCAGGGGAGCTGTGGCCGAGCAGGTGGCAGTGCGAGCGGCCCCCAGCTGCCACTTCATGCTGTCAGCCCATGCTAGTGTCACCGGGCGCAGATGGTGCCAGGCAGCCCCCACCACACGTGCCCACCATGCCCAGCGGCTGCTGGGAGCTGTGCTGGGGGCATGCTGCCATCAGAGGGACTCCTGTGCTTACCCCCCCGCTCCCTCTGCTATCCATGTGGCCGTGCTTGCTCTGCTCCATAGGATTTTTGAGCCACCCTTCACATGGTTAACGTGCTTGCTGCCTTCTGCTGTGCTTGGTGACACAGTGGCTTTGCCATGAAGCAGCCCTGGTACACTGTGCACAGAAATTTCCCCCAACCTCACCGCTCTGTGTGGGCTCACACTGAACAATTTCCATTTCTAAGACTGTGCCTGCCTGCTTTGCTTGCACCCACTGCAATGTACTCGGAACTCCAGCGATGTGTTTTCCATTGGCTGGGTGCACACAATTTGCAGCTGGGACACTGTGGAGTGAGAATGGCAAGGAGGCAGGAGCACAACACAATGGGTAGAACAGAGGCAGGGTCACCATTTTTTCCAATTGAAGTGGTGAAGAGCGATTTGTGCTGAGTGCCACCGGAGCTGCAATCCCTGCGGGACCCTGGAACTGCTCTGGACAGCATGAGGAATATACCAACTGCTTCCTGGCAGTGATAGGCACATTTGGCTGCCGACATGAAAGTTGGACAGGTTGGTGTCAGAACAGGGCTTCCCTCCACCAGGAGTGATGTTGGGATGCTCTGCATGGGGCAGGCTGCAGGCTCCATCCCAGTTGGGCAGCTGTCAGCCTGCTGAAGAACAGTCCCGACACAAGGAAGGATGTGGGCTGTTTTACTTCCCCTGCCCTTTTCAGGATCTGGGGAAGGCAGTGAGAAGGGTTTTGATCCACCCCTGCGTGGCAGAGCTGTGTCCTTTCCCCTCTAAGCGCTTGGCTGAGACATAAACGGAGAAGGACAACTTCACAGAGATCGATGTTGGAAAGACACAGCGTGACGAGGCAGGAAAAAAACCCTCAAAACCTAAAACCTGTCAGTTTCTACACTTGATGAAGTCAGGGCAGGGTGATGCTGCAGATCTCAAAAAAATGCCCCGTGCACCTTTTTTCATCACCCCCTCACCTAACCCAGGCAAACTCCCATTTGCAGGCACTACCCTGGCAGCAGCACACAGCAGCCCCTCACCTTCTGCTGACCAAAGGGCCACATCCCAGCTCAGCACATTCCTGACCAACCCTCTGAGGACACGGGAACCTCCAGGGCTGCACGCTGCAGCCGGTGCCATGCACGCCAGCTGCTGCAGAGAGGCCGCAGAGCTCCCAGCACTGCCGCAGCCCCATTCCCACTCCCCACTGTGCAGGCTGCTTTCAGAAGCCATCACCATCGCAGCCTCCTCTGCAAGATATGGAGAAATCCCAGCACAGGTGTGAGCAAGCAGCACGGTGTTCAGGAGTGCCATGTGGGAGAAGCTACAGCGTGGGCTGCAGGGCTGCACCCCCAGTTCTGGCTTTGGCTGTGGGTACCAAGGAGGGACGAGCTGCCTGCAGGACTGTGCACACAGCCACCAGCAGAGCACAGCCCTGCCAGGACCGGCCCTGCCCTGCCCTGCCCACCCTACAGCGCATCCCCACAGCCGCCCCATTACCCCTAATGGGAACGGCGTGCGGATGGATGGGGGAGAACCTAATGCCTTTCTATTATACCACCGATTAAGTACTCGGGGTCGTGTCCTCAGCTGATGTAAAGTAGATGAGATACACAGAGCTTAATGGATCTCCGCACCCCAGCCAGCAGCCGGCCCTCTCGCTCCGTTAAAGCCCACAGCCCCTCAGCAGCCCCCGTGTTTAACCCCTCCATCCTTCAGCCACGAGCTCTGTTAACTATCCTTCCTTTCCCAAGTTTGGTTTCACCGCTGCATCTGAAGAGTCGCTGCCCTCACCCAGGTGGGGAACAGTGCAGCGGTGTGGAGCAGAGGGCACAGAGCTCGGGGCTGTAGGCACTCAGAGCAGCACACAGAGCCCTGCAGCCCCCTCTGCCCTTCCAACCCCGTCCCCAGCAGAGCAGTTGAGATGCTGCTGAGCACTGGATTACATGGCAAATAAAACACTGTTTTGCAAACATAGGTACATCGACTTTCATGTTAAAGCGCGGCTTCCTCAGCCCGCATCCATGAGCTGCAGCAGGCACACGGATGGATCTTTTTGCCTTCTGTAACTGGATGGAATAAGGAACATTCAGTGCATTTCTGCGACAAGAAGGAGTGGAGGCAGCGAGCTGTATGGAGCTGGGGAGTGAAACACATGGCAACAGCCTATGAACAGAAATGTTCTGAACAAGGAATGCAATGCGGGCAGCCCTCGCAGACACCGTTCTCGTGCAATAACTTAAACAGTGAGGATTACTACTTGGGGAAATAAAAGACAACATAACTTTGAAACTTGAAAAGCTCTTCCTTCGTTGTAATCAATTGCAATAATCCACGTCAGTGATTTAGATGAAGATCAACTTTACCTTTCTTTGCTGATGACACAAAACTAAGAGCAATAAAAAACTTAAGTGCATTTGTGCACAACTAATGGATTGGATGTGGCATGTGCCAATGGAAGTCGCTATGTATAATGCAGCACATACTGGATGCCAAATTAATGGGATCATTTGGGCATTCTGGAACACTTGTGGCACCGGGCTTAAGTCATCTAAGGAGCCTGGCAAGGGTTCGTGACCTTCCATTTGCAAAAGCCTGCAGAAGCCTTGCAGTGCTGGAGGCAGAGCAGCACTCAGCCCAGCTGCTGTTCGGTCCCAGGCACAAAGACAACAGAACTGAACGGAGATCTGGACTCAGCACCACATCAGGACGTGCTCCACCAGCTCAGGAGGAGCAGCCCAGGAGCTCGCTGGGGTGAGCCATGGCCACACAGCTTCTCCTCATGGTGGTGGCAGCACAGAAATGCACACTTCAGGGAGAATTCTTGTGCGTAGGGAGGTGTAAACCTCAGTATGATTTGTGTTAGCTATAGATAAGCTAAATCATGGCCCAGCTGAGCGAAACACTTTTGTAAAGCGGGGCTCTGAATGCTGTGCAGTTTGTGTGTTTGCCAGGGCCGTGCTCTCATTGTGGAGCGGAGAGCAGAGCAAATAACCCATTGATTTTAAGGCTCATTTAGGAAAAAGATTGCCTATACGGATCTATCTGATCACCGTGCATTACTCCATAACATCAAATAGCTCGGGCACAAAATAATGCTGAGAGATGCAAATTCTGCAGCCATTTTTATACGGGGAAGGCTGTGCTGTGCATACGGGTGTTTTTGAGGGGCTGGGGCTGGAAGTGGGCTTTGGGGGGCTCTGGGGATGTCTGCATGGCTCTGGCTGAGTCCTGCTCTGTACCTCTGGGCACCATACAGAAAATCACCCACATGCACCACTCAGCAAAGTTTAAGCAATCTGCATGCAGCCACATCGTGCTGACAGCTCAGCACCACTCCAGTTCTCCATCCCTATCCAGCAATGGGTTTGAACACGGGTTTCCCTGGGCTTAAGGCTTCTGAAAAGAAAGAAACACAAACACGCTGTCCGTGCTTCTCGGGTGCACATGCAGACGTGTAAGAGTTCAGACTGCTTAGGAAAACCCCTCCAACAGCTGAGAACCATCACTTTTGTAGCAGCTTCAAACACCGATGTACACAACCCAGCTTGGCGGGACACGGGGCACCTCCCCCAGCCCCCACTGCCCCACGGCCACACAGCCCCGGGCACAGGGTGTGGATTGAGCCCCTGCGGGATCAGCAACACCAGCGCACCCCAAAGGGCCCTCTGAGCCCGGGCACTGCCCAGGTTTGTGCTCCTTGGGAACAGCGGATGCCCTCTGGGAGCATCACTGCTATCCTACGGGGCTCTGCTGTGCCGAGGGACGGCCCCTCTAAAGCGCGCAGCGCGGACTGTTGGGCAGCACAGTTACGGCGGACTCGGGCTGGCAGGGATGGCCGCTGCAACCCACAGAGAGAGCAGTGCGGAGCGTCCATCTCCGCTGGCGTTCCCTGCTGATGCCCGGGACACAGGTGCGGATTTCCTGCACAGAGCTGCATCCCGCAGCAGCTCACGTCTCGTCCCCAAACGAACAGGGGACGACAAACAAACTGCCCCGGTCCCATTCCCCGGCGCACGGTGCTGCGGCTGCTCGGCCGGCCTGGAGGCCGCTGCTTCGCGAGGCCCTCGGGGAAACTGCGGGCACGAACGGATCCCACCCCACCGCCGTCCCACGGTGGGGCCGAGCCCGTCCTCCCGGTTCTGCTGGCCGCGGGGCCGTGAGCGCTGCGGGGCTCCGCGCCGACTGCTTTGCTGCGGGCCCCGGGGCTGCTGCGCGCTGCGGTGTGCGGCGGTACCGCGCTCAGAACGCTCGGCTCCGGCCCTGTTTGTTTGGGAAAAATCGGGAACACGGACAGCACAGAGCAGCGCTGCCTTCAAACGGCGCTGAAACGTTAACACCGAGCGCACACGACTCTGACCCTCGGAGCCGTCCCGGAGCCGCGGCGGTGCGGGCTGCCAAAGCGGCGTTCCGCAGACCCGACATCTCCTCGGCGTCGCTTTTATCGCCCAGTCCCCGCCGGGCGCTTCCCCTCGCTCGGCGTTTTCCATCGCGGCAGCGCGGTTCCGTGTTCTGAGCGGTACCGCCGGGTTCGGGCTCAGCCCTGAGCCGCACGGCGAGCGCGGGGCGAAGCGGGAGGAACGCTACCGACATCCCCCATCGGCCGCTGCCGACGCCGTTTGGGGCCATTCCCCGCACCCGCAGCGCTGCGGGGCTTTCGTTCGTTAAGAAAAAAAAAAAATAGGTAATGTATGCCGTAAAAAAATAAAATGAGAGCAACGAAAACCAACGAAAGCCGAAAGGCGAAGCCCCAGCGCAGCCCCGCGGGTCCCAGCGCGGCTGTGAGCGGCCCGGCGCGGAGACGTCTCTGTAAAGAAACCGTTTATTTACACGTCTCGACAAGTACAAAGTATTATACACGGGCCGTGCCAACCCCCAGTCTTCGTTACGATGAACCGTAAGGCGCTTTCTCTACTGCCGGTGCGAGGAGGTGCGGAGCGGCGCGGAACGCGGGGCGGGACGGGGCGGGCGGCCCCGGGGCATCGCGGGGAGCGGCGGCCGCCACCGACCGCATCCAGAGCGGAGCGGGGCTGTCCCGGCTGCGCTCGGCCTCTCCGCTCGGGGACCTGTTGTTGAGACCGTCCCCGGAACGGGGGGGGAAAAAAAAAATTTAAAAAAATCAAAACGAAAACGGTCTTTCGTTCCGAAGCCGACGCGAAATGCCTACGTCCGGATTTCGATATAAATAATCGAGGGTTTATATAATTCCGTATTAATAGTGCCCAAAATCTCGATGCATAAATAAATTAACTTATTAACACTTCTTACAAAAAGGAACGCCTCGCCCTCCCAGCGGCACCCCGGCCCCGTGCTGCCGGCCCGGCGCTGCCTTTCAGCGCGGGGGGAACCGCGGGGCTCCGCGCGTCCGCTTGGTGCCGGGGCCGCGCTCAGACGAGGGAGGTGACCGGCGGGATCTTTGCGCTTTCCTCCTCCCAGGGCTGCAGGTTCTGCAGCGCGAACAGCGACGAGTTGTGCAGGCACAGCGGGTCGGGCTGGATCGACTCGTTGAGCGACTTCTGGAAGGCGTCGTGCTGCAGCTGCAGCATCAGCCGGCTCGCCTGCTGCCGCTCGGCCTCCCGTTCCTCCGCCGTCTGCCGCCTGCGGGCACGGGGCACAGCTCAGTGCTCAGCGCACCCGGCGGGACGGGGCGGGATGGGATGGGATGGGATGGGATGGGATGGAACGGGATGGAACGGGATGGGACGGGACGGGACGGGACTCCGCGCTGCGCGGCACCGGCGGCAGAGTGCGGGCCGGGAGGTGAGGGCGGCCCGGCGTGGGGCGGCTCGGCTGGGGAAGCTCCCTCGTTCTGCGGTTACTTCTCCCCTTTCCGATGAATCCCCTCGTTTTCCGGGTAACTCCCTCCGGTCTTCCTAATAATCCTCTCCGGTTCTCCCCAGTAGTTCAAGCAATTTTCCCCAATAATTCAACCGATTATCCCCAAGTAGTTCAACCTCAATAATTCAACCACTTATCCCCAAATAATTCAACCAATTTTCCCAACGCTTAATCCATTTCCACATTCATTCCTCCCCAATTTTCCCACTATTTCCCCTATTTCCCCGGTCGTTCACCAATTTCTTCTAATACTTAATCCAATTTTCAAGCCGCCTCCCTCAGTTTTCCCAACAATCCTTCCAACTTCATAATATTTCCCCCCATTTTTCCAATTGCTGGCTGGTTTTTCACAGCCGCTCCTTTGCTTTTTTCCCCCAATAATTTATCCAATTTCCCCAATCACTCCCGTGATTTCCCAAAAGCTCTCTCAATTTTCTCAGTAACACCCTCCATTTCTTCCGACGCATCCCTCATTTTTCACAATAACTCCTCCGACCATCCCAATAATTTACCAATTTTCCCATCAACTCCCCCAATTCCCGAATAATCCCCCAATTTTCTCACCACCACCCGTTTCTCCCAACAACTCGTTCCCTTTTCCCATCAGTTCTCCTCACTCCCTATCGATTCCCTCAATGTAACACAGCCATCACTCGTTTTTCCCAACGATTCCCCCAGTTTTCACATGCACCTACAGCTCTTCCCACCGCCTCCCCCCATTTCCCCTCTCTTTGCCCCCATTCTTGCACGGCTGCCCACTCCCCGCTGCGAGCCGGGACCACCTGCTCCTCTCCTCTCCTCTCCTCTCCTCTCCTCTCCTCTCCTCTCCTCTCCTCTCCTCTCCTCTCCTCTCCTCACTCACCGCCACTTCGTGCGCCGGTTCTGGAACCACGTCTTCACCTGCGCGTCCGTCATCTTCAAGGACTTGGCCAGGGCCGCTCGCTCTGCCGACGCGAGGTATTTCTGCCGGTGGAAGCGCTTCTCCAGCTCGCAGATCTGCACGCGGGAGAAGGACGTGCGCGGTTTCTTGCGCTTCGGCGGGGTGCGGTTCTGGTACGGGTGTCCGATGCGGCGCGTCACCGTGAAGGGCGTCAGCGCGGCCGCGGCTGCACGCGATGGGAAACTCACGGTCAGCGCGGCCGCTCCGTGCCCGACGGAGCCCCCCGCCCGCCCGCCCGCCCGCCGCGCCGCTCCTACCCACCCGTGAAGCGCTCCTTGACGAAGCGGCGGCTGCTCTCCATCCAGGGGAAGCTGAGGCCGCCCAGGCCGGGCACGGCGGGGATGGCGCTGGGCACGGGCGGCGGCACGGCGCCGGGGATGGGCCGGTGCGCGGGGACGCGGATCACGCCGCCGGGCGCCAGGCTCAGGTTGACGCCGTACGGCCCCGACTCCTCGAAGGGCGCGGCGATGGCCGGGAAGGGGCCCGGCAGCGCGGGGTAGGGCGCGCCGCCGCGGGGGCCGCCCAGGAAGGCCGCGCCGTCGGGGCCCCGGGGGGGCGGCGGCGGCGGCGGAGGCGGCGGCGGCGGCGGCGGCGGCGGCGGCGGGGGGGCAGCGCCGTCCTGCTCGGGGCCGCTGAGGATCTGGTCGATGCCGAAGCTGATGGGCTCGTGCTGGTGCGGGCCCTGCGCGCCCGCCGCCGGCTCCATGCTCCCGCGCCGCGCGCAGCCCCGCGCCCGCTATAAAGGCGCCGCCGCCGCGCGCCCCGCGGCCCGGCCGGCCCCGCCGTGCGCCGCGCGGAAACTTTGCGGAACGCGCGCCGCCCCGGCAGCCGCCCGTCATCTCCTCGGGGCCGCCGCGCGCCCCGCGCCGCGTGCGCCCCCGCCGCCGCCATTGGCCGCCGCCGCCCGGCCTCTGCGCTCCCATTGGCTCCCGCCGCACGGCACCGGCCCCGCGCCCGACCGCGGGGGCCCCGCGCCGCGCCGCGGTGACATCACCGGGGGCGCGCGAACAAAGCGGGGCGGGGCGGGGCGGGGCGGGGGCGCCGTCGGGGCGGCGGAGCGGAGCGGGGCCCGGAGCGGAGCGCCGGCGCGGCCGCACGTCGGGGCGCGGGCTTTGAGCCGTCCCCGCCCGGCGACCGGCAGAGCGCGGCCCCCCGACGGCCGCATCGCGCGGTGCGGAGCGCCCGCGGCCGCCCCGTCGGAGGCGCCCGGCCCGGGGGTCCCGGCGGCGTCGCGGTGATCGGCGGCGGGGCGGCCGAGGCCGCTAAGTGAGTTTGCCGCCGCTCCCCGACGTCCAAATGGGACTACAGGCGTTAAAAATTAAATAACGCGCGGATGCATTTAGTTAGTTTCCCTCTTATAAAGGGAAATGAAAACAGGGAATAGAATTTTCCTTTTAATAGAATGTAATGGTATTTGATCAGCACCTGGTAGGGCGAGCCCGCGATTCCGGGAGCGGTGACACGGAGGCACTTTATTAGTTTTTAAAGCTCGCGATTCAATTACCGCCGAGCTGCGTAATCCCGACGGCCGGGAGGACACGGAGCCGGGCGGTGCGGGTGGCGGGCGGACCCGACGGGCAACGCGGCTCGGAGCGCGGCTGCACCGCCGCCGCCGCCGCCGTCGGGGCTCCGCGCCACCCGCGGCCGTGTGCGGGGACGGGGCCGGCGCAGCCCCGGGCGGTTCGTTCCCTCTCGGCCGCCCCCGAGCGCGGGGCGGGGGATCGGGAGGAAAATGGGAGAAAAAAAAAGGGGGGGGGAGGGGGGGGGGG